CCCCCCCCCCCCCCCCCCGCCGAAAGCATTAACTCTCGCCTCTTTATACCTAATTTCATCGATTTGTCACTCCTTTTTATCTTTTCCCAACCCTAGATTACATTATTCCTCTCGAAGATCTATATTCTATAGATCTCCGCCTCATTTCATAGAATCACTTGACTTTCTTTATGATTCTTATATTCCTAAGACAGGCTAGAGTTTCAAGACGGTGGAGGTGAGGATTACAAGGTGACTGGTGAAACATTCATATCTGATGCCAAGGAGGAGGACAAGGTCATCGTCATCCGATCCACAATGACAACAATGATGCCGATGTTGCCCCGATCAGAGAAAAAAAAGTGGCAATCGGCCTTGAAGTAAAGGAAGATTGTGTCATTCTTATTGGGAGTGATGAGGATGGCAGTTATGATGCAGATGCTGACAGTGATGATATGGAGGGGTCTGAAATTATGATGAGACGCTTACAGTATGCATTCGTTCAAAATATTAAATGGCACCAATAAAGATGTTCTAATCTACATCGCGATTTTTTATCCATAAAAATTTGGACTTTTACTTCATTATTATTCAAAATAATACTCATATAATTTAGTGCTTGTTTGGTGAACAAAAAATATAGGTTTTAATATCTGTACATACCAAAATCTTTTTCTGTTGTTTGGTTGAAGACTAAACAGAATTTAGATTTAATATCTCAAGATATTACAAATTATTCAAATGGATAATTTTAATATATCCTAAATTTGATTATATCAATATGTAGGTTAGATATCTTTATCAAGCACGAACCACCACCCGCCACTTGCCAGTGGTGTCACCGCAAATCACTCTTCTTGCCGATCACCCTTACTACTCACTAGTTATTTTAAATCTCTCCAAATATGTTCATTTCAGATTTTAGATCTTAAATCATTTTTTTCGAAACAAAAATATTTATTTTTTTTAGATTTCAAGACACATATTCTATCATATATCCAAAATTGACCAAACACGCCCTATCATATCTCTATTTTTTTATTATGTTCATTAATTTTGTAACAAATGCATTATTTTATTTTGGTACATAAACTTTAATTTTTTTATCACAAAAATACATCAACTTTGAACTTTCTTTGACCAATGATTTATTAGCT